GTGTGGGAGGGTCAGCCTAACCCATGACACCCCAAAAGTTTTCTAAGCCTCCAAAAGTAAAGAGACACAGCCTGCTGATCCCAAACATACAGCAAACCCAATTAGTTTCATCAACTTTAAACGGTTCGGAAAAATTACTATTATACTATACACAAAACTTACAAAGTTCTGAAACCTTTCATAGTCAGGAGTAAAAACAACAGGCTTAGATGGACATGCAGCATCTGCCTACACAATAAACACTACGGGAACAGACTAGTTCTGAAGAACATTTAATTTAGAAACTTTTCTTCATGAAGGATAAGCTAAGCAAAGCACAAAAAAAAACCACTATGTTCATAAAGTCCTCAAGAACTCTGCACTGTGCTTTCTCTCCTTGCCTTGGTTTTGCAAGTAGGAAATACAAAACACAGAATGAGGAACATACCAAATAGACAATATGCAGATCATTCTCCAGAACAAAGCTTTTCATAGCTCGCTGCAGGTCAGCAAAGATTTCCATGGCTTCAGTAGGTGATAGAGAAGAGGAAAGAGTAGCTGAGCCAAGATGTGTTGGATGATAAACCTTTGCTGTTAAAAAAAACACACAAAAAACCCCCCCCACAAAAAAAAAAAAATCAAAAACACATAGAGAAACATTTAAGTGCAAATTTATATCTCATTTTCAGGTTGCAATGTATTTTATATATATCAATTCTACTAAATCTTCTGAAGTGCTTTTTCAAGAAAAAATAGTGTATTTCTTCATTCTGAAGACAGGAAAACAGAAACAATACAAGGTTTAGACTTGCCTAAGTCTAAACTAGGCTTTTTCAGTGGTCAGATCACAAGCTTGGGTCCTTCTAACTACTCGGACTAACAGCTATGATAGCTATTTAGAGAAAAAACACCGGAATCCCATCTGCCATCCTGTCTAGGAGTTACCATTTCGAGTATTTCTTTCTTAGGAACACCAAATATATCTTTTCATCTTTTCTTTAAAAAGAGATACAAATTAACCTGTAACAAGGATTTTTACTATTACTCTAAAAGTCTCATCCTTAGTCATTTGAAGAAAATAGCCAAAATCAGGAAAAAGTGCAACCATGTACACCAAGCAGTTCTAGAAGACACTTGCACTCTCTTAGAATGTACTGGTGCTTCTTTAGAAATACAAAAATCATAGTCTACAGTTAATGTGCACAAATCCTGTAGTAAAAGTATGCCTTGTTTAAAGATATTTTGGGAATCTGTAAACTAGGATGCATCAGTCTTACAGGTGATGTACAGAGAGAGGCCTTCCAAGAACACGTGCATGCAAAAAATGTTAAAGCAGGTAATAAAGACACCCTCCAGAAAGCTAAAAAATTCTTGATACACATGATTCTTTAAAATAAAACCAAAAATGTACAGAAGTCCTCATTACAAAGTTACGTTGAACATCTATCCAGCTGCAGAAAATTCATGGGTTCAAAACCGCTAACTGCAATCACCAGGAAGAACACCCATGTTACCTTTCACATCACTGCCGGCGTCTAGAACCTGAATGAATTCATTTTCCAGCAACCACGCCACACAAGCCTCGATAGGTCCTATCTGTGCTTTGTCTTGTGCCTTCTCATTTCCCCACTTGCTTTCTTTCAAACTGGATGCAAAAAGAGTGCAAGAAGCGTAGGTCTGCACATCATCTGGAGTGTTGGCCACTCCCCCCACTATGATCTGTTGAAGAAAACTACTTGTTCATATTGCCAGAGAAGCAGTAGGATGGAACATCAGATCGGAGAATCAAAGAAATTGATGCATCAGATATCTAAGTTTTAAAGAATCAGTACAAGGGAGGAACATGAGGCAAAGCAACTGCCAATCTTTAAGGACTTTTCTTGGCAAGAAGTTAGACACCTTAGGTAGAAAGGAAGAGGACTAAGCTATTGGAAAGAATTAATTACAAAATCTTGTTTTGATAGCAGGCATACACATAGTAGCAACTTAATTTGAGACTAGAACTAGGCATTTTGCTTAGCCGACTTTGTGAAATACTTTTAAAAGGTTAGAAAACAAAGTGGAATTTCCTGAAGACAAAAAGCAAACGAGGAAGGAGTAGTTCTCTGAAGGCTCTTCAGCATACTGAAGTTTTCTCTTAATATATGTGAATGCTATACTCCATCAGTTCTCCTGATTTAGAGTGATTTTCTTTCCCTTCCATTTTGTTTTCATTTTGTTTTTCACATAACTGTTTTTTCCTTGTGAGTCATTTCCATGTGCATGTCTTCCTTGAGACAGCAAGTTAGTTTAGTTTAACTAAAAACTTTATTTCATGGTTTCAATTCATTTTTTTCATGTTATAAAGCAACACCATCAGAAAGGAAACCTCATCTTTCAGATAGCTCTCATGCAGAAAAATGCATTTAGAAATTCCATTGGTCTGCTAAAAATTCAAAATCTATGAAATCACAACCAAGTTCTAAGTACCACAGCAGCTTTCACAAGACAGTAGGAGTAGTACAGCAAATGAACTGTATTTGAAGAGTCTAAGCTCAGTTCAAGGCCAAAAGAAACTTTGGAAAAGGAGATATGCTCACCTATGTGGAATAACACCCTTTTGGTCCTTTTTATTCCTGTAGGAACCCTACAGAGGAGGGCAGGCTAGAGGGTGCAAATTGGGTACCACACCTGTTTGTTCACCAAACACGTATTTACAAAGTTCAATTGTTGCTGTGCAAAAGAGGCAGATTAGTTGAGGGGAGAAATAATGGATCCTACAAGGTTCTACAAATGTCATTACGGCTCAATTCAGTCACAAAGCCTCTGGGATCAGTAATTTACAAGCATTTCCCACTTGAGACTGTCAGGTCACACGTGAAGTTTAAGAATTACACTTATTATTATTGCCTGCAGTTTGAGCATATCTAAATGCAGAAGCAAAGCTTAGTAACCCTTGTTTGAGTAGGCTCATGTCCTTATCTGCAGCAAGTGGAGACCAAAACATACCAAATAAAATGCTGAATATTCAAGCAAGCTGGCAGACCCAAGTAATTTTCTTCTGAAGTTGCTTGGGTTGACAAGGGACGAAATAGCATAGAAAGAAAGTGCACAGAAAACATTCGATGGTGTCACAAAAGAAACCATCGTACAACTACAAGAGTGCAAACACAGTTCCAATCCCTCCCCACGTGTCCTGTACCTCAAGTATTGCTCTTTTCATGCTAGAAGAAACACCTTCCCCTTCTCTTCTAAACAAACAACTGCAAACAGGCTTGAGAGATCCCTGAAGCAGAGCAGTTCCTTTTGATCTTTCTGAGGGCTTGCAAACTAAAATGCTCTCACCTATAGGAAAAGGAAAAAAAACAAACCAAACCAAACTAAAACAAAAACAATCAAACAAAAAAAAAAATTACCTTAGTATTGCATTTTAGCATTGTAATAGCTATGTACAGTTCATCAAGGACATATTATTAGAATAGAAAACTGTAGGTATTTTTGAAAAAAAGTGAATAAAAGAGGAAAATCTTAGCGACCTTGAACAGTGTGTATCCATTGCTATGCAAGAACTCCACAGATGCAGAGTACTTAAGAACTAAAAGCAGAGCAAACTTCAAAGTTATATTAGGCTGGTCAGAGTCTTGCCAAATCAGCTAAGGAGCTTCCATAGCCTCTCTGTGCGTTTGCTGTGCTGCTGGATGACTCTTGCTTCTTGTTCTGGAATTGACGGGAACTATAATATACAGTAGCATCAATTTTTCTTCTGCACTACATTATTAAATTGAATAGAACCTCAAAAGCAAGAAGAAAACATAAAAGCTACACAGCACTTCAACAGTTTCTGTTAAGATAACCAGCTTCTACATCCAGAATGAAATAACGCAGATACCAAAGTAATTCAGAAATCCAAAGTTATTAATCTAAGTAACTATGCATTCTCTGAACTTGCACCTATGCATAAATATATACACACACACATAAAATCTTATGTGTATTACACATAAAATCTTATGTGTATCTTAAGTATTCTGAATGGTTTCCACTGAAAGTACATCTAAATATACCTTACCTTAAAATTCTCTATCAGATATTAAGTTAATACTGAACTACTGAAATTCTGCGGGAGACAAAAAAGGTTCCAGTCACATAAAGGAGATTTTTTCAACGAAGCCATTACACAGAAACTAGGTCCCTGGGAGACCTAGCTTGTTAGAAGCTTTGCCAATTGGCACAGGATAATTGAATTATGGGTAGGACAAGCTTGCCTTTGACTAAGAAGAGAGATTTGGATTAGTTGTAGAGTAAAAATCATGATAGGTTTACAATAACTTGTTAAGATTTAAGTGCATGTAGTCTAGACACCAAGGTAATTTTGGTAGTATCTTAGTAAGATCCTAGGAATGCTAAATTATGATAAAACCGTAGCCATGGTAATGCTGCAGTAATTAGTAAATCCAGAGGTAATGAAACTTAAATGTAATGAACAGAATAAATACCACAAACGCAGCGTAGGTGAGTAACCGAATACAGCTTAAACGTGATTACATAAATGAATTACAGGATGAAAGACATGCTTAGAGGATGTGTGTCTCAGATTTTTTTTTTTATCCTGCTAGGCAAAACTTTTGATATCTGTTGACCATGTACTTTTGCCAGAGCTGAAAGTACAGAAGATAAACTGCCTGTAAGCATTGTACTGTGAAAGCAAAGCTTATTTCCATTTCAGCAATAAAGAAAATTCACTCATTTCATATTTGAGTTCTGATGTGACCTGCAATTCCCTCTGAAAACTTTGACTCTTCAGTGTGATAAATCTAACAAAAGATGGGCGTCCACTTGGCTCTACATTATCTGACAGTCATTCCAGATTTGGGGAAACCCTTTCCCAAGATGCCATGAGAACTTAAGAGCCAATAATTGCACCCTAGTAAACAGTTAAGGAAAAAAAAAGGAACTAAGCTGTTCTAACATCCCTTTTTGAACATTTCAGAGAGGGAAAGTCTAGGTTAGCATGAGACTAGACAAACACCAGAAGGCTCTGGCTATCTAGGCATAAAACTCCATTTAAAAAAAAGCCCTATTATATTCCCAGGTTTTGTTTAGCAATATTGAACAGCTTTACCTATTTCACCTTGAGAACGTGACACTTTTGATGAACGCAAAAATAATCCAATTTCATTTTCTAAAGTGACGTTTTTAAGTTTCCATCAAATCGGAAAAAAAAAAAAATCAAAACCTGAGACAACCTAACATTACAATGTTGGGAGAAGAGGAGGAAATCAACTCAACAGCATTTATCTTCTGTCTGTCAGCTGAATTTCATATCCACATAAGGCATTTTTTACAGCTGAAGCTGCTGTCCTCCAGTCTCCCTACTCTGTGAAAGAGTAGCAGCTGGTAATGTAGCTTTATGTGCACATCTAAAAGGCTCTGTGGAGTGGAAAAAATGGTACATTTATAAAGCTTATCAGCATAAAAATCAACTGCTTACTGTGCAAAAGACAGTCACATCAGAATTGTCAAAAAAGGGTACTAATTATTGTAACTTGAAAGGGGAAAAAAAAGAAACTTGAAGGAATAATGTAATTTTACACCTGCCAGCTACACTCAAACGACAAAGTCTGGAAAATTTCAAAATACAGCATGCAGCTGCCCTTTTCTTCAACACATAGGGATAGCTCACAGAGATATAGGTCGTGAAATGCTCCGTTGCTATGCTACTCTGGCAAAAACAAAGTTAAATGTAAGAACAGTCTGCTTACACAGGGTTCCAACAAGCACCAATCAAACCATCAGTAGGGCAAATCCCACTTTCCACTTCTGTCAAACTTCTTATTTTCTACTGTGCTTACACTTGTATAATACAATTTCTCCAAATATCATCCATGAAGATTAATTTCCATTGCAAATTAAAATAACAGGCAGGATTATTTTGTTGGACATCAATCAGTGCCACTGTATGCATGAAGACATCATATTATCTACCAACTACTGGTCATATTTACCTGTTTCTCTGTCGCATTACTACTTTCAAGATCCATACATTTATGGTTAAGTTTAGTGGAAATATAATAAATTCAAATCAGAACTTCAAAGAACAGAAGTTTGTAAAATTATGGTTAGAGACTTTAAACGCATTTCTTACATTTTAGGCCTGTCCACTGAGAGTTTACTGTAAATTTTCTCACTGAAACTGTAAATGCTTCAGTAAACTGAACATTGATCACAGAATTAAGGCAAATGAACAACACAGCCTTAGAATCTAAAAAGAATTCAAAAAAGAAAATAGCCTGTTCCTGAAGTACCTGACATGTCAATACCAAAGTAAGTCTCATGCAGTGAAAAGAATCCACTGGGAATTACAATTTTTACTCCATTAATACCAAACAAATACATCTTGATTAACTTAATCATACTAAATACCAAAGGAATTCATCATGATTAGTCACTAATTGCAAAGCACTGCCCTGAATTTAATCGGGTTAACACCGTTCCGAGAGAATGTTAATAAAGCCTCTGCTTACCCTCTGTGTCTACTCCTTTCCTGCCAGCCCTTCCAGCCATCTGCTTGTAAGTGAGAATGTCCAGCAGTTTGCCACCAAACATGGGAGTTCGTATAATTACTCGGCGTGCAGGCAAATTCACTCCAGATGAGAGCGTGGAGGTTGCTGCTAAGACTCTGACCAAACCCTGGCGAAAGGCTCCTTCAATGATGTCCCGTTCATCAAAAGTAAGACCTGAGGAGAGATGCCTTTTAGCGCACCTAGTAATGGTGTGACTGCATTTAAGAGCTAATAATATTACTGTCAAGCAAGGGGAAGAACAAACAAACTTAACGAGGAGAATCTCCATCCTTTATTGGATGTGGGGGGAAACACAGGGACAAAGGATGAGGAACAGGCTGAGGCATTTGATGGCTTCTTTGCCTCGGTCTTTAATAGTAAGAGTAGTTGTTCTACGGGAACCCAGTCCCCCTGAGCTGCTAGATGGGGACAGGGAGCAGAATGAAGCCCCCATAATCCAAGGGGAAATGGCTACTGACCTGCTACACCACTTAGACACACACAAATCTACGGGGCTGGATAGGATCCACCCCAGGGTACTGAGGGAGCCAGAGGAAGTGCTCACCAAGCCACTTGCCATCATTTATCAACACTGGTCCCAGGTGACTGGAAACTAGCAAACGTAATGTCCATCTACAAGAAGGGCTGGAAGGAGGATTCGGGAAACTACAGGCCTGTCAGTCTGACCTGGGTGCCAGGGAAGGTTATGGAGCAGGTGATCAGGCCCAGTCAGCATGGGCTTACGAAAGGCAGATCCTACTTGACTAACCTGATCTCCTTCTATGACAAGGTGACTCGCTTAGTGGATGAGGGAAAGGCTGTGGATGTTGTCTACCTAGACTTTGGTAAAGCCTTGACACTGTTTCCCACAGCATTCTCCTGGAGAAACTGGCTGCTCAAAGTTTGGATGGGTATACTCTTCACTGAGTAAAAAAACAGCTGGATGGCTGGGCCCAAACAGTTGTGATGAATGAGGTTGAATTCAGTTGGCAGCCAGTTACAAGTGGTGTTCCCCAGGGCTCGGTACTGGGGCAAGTTCTGTTTAATATCTTTATCAATGACCTGGATGAGGAGATTAGGTGCACCTTCGGTAAGTGTGCAGATGACACCAAGTTGGGTAGGAGTGTTGATCTACTTGAGGGTAAGGAAGGCTAAGTGTCAGGTCCTGCATTTGAGTAATGACAAGCCCATGCAACAGTACAGACTTGGGAAACAGTAGCTGGAAAGCTGCCCTACAGAAAAGGACTTGGGGGTGTTGGTCGATAGCCAGCTGAACATGAGCCAGCAGTGTGACCAGATGGCCAAGGCGGCAAATAGCATCCTGGCTTGTATCAGAAATAGTGTGGCCAGCAGGACTAAGGAAGGAATGGTCTCCCTGTACTCAGTACTGCTGAGGTCACACCTCGAATCTTGTGTTCAGTATTGGGCTCCTCACTACAAGAAAGACACAGAGGTGCTGGAGCATATCCAAAGAAGGACAACAAAGCTGGTGAAGGGTCCAGAGCACAAATCTTGTGAGGAGTGGCTGAGGGAACTGGGGTTGTTTAGCCTGCAGAAAAGAAGGCTGAGGGGAGACCTTATCGCTCTCTACAACTACCTGAAAGGAGGTTGAGGTGAGGTGGGTGTTGGTCTCTTCTCCCAAGTAACAAGTGATAGGATAAGATGAAATGGCCTCAATCTAAACCAGGGAAGGTTTAGATTGGATATGAGGAAAAGTTTCTTCCCTGAAAGGGTTGTCAAGCATTGGATCAGGCTGCCCAGAGAAGTGGTTGAGTCACCACCCCTGGAGGTATTTAAAAGATGTGGTGTTTAGGGCCATGGTTTAGTGGTGGGCTTGGCAGCGCTAGGTTAATGGTTGGACTTGATGATCTGAAAGGTCTTTTCCAACTTAAACAATTCTATGATTCCATGATTCTAAGAACATTCCTCACTCAGTGTTAGGAACTAGACTCACAACACTACCTCAGTTAACCTCTTTTGAACCATAAGTGAAGTAAAATTTCACCATTAAGTTTTCATTATTCAATTGATGGTAGTACTTATAAACTAGCTTTTCTAAGGTGCTTGTATACATCATGGCGAGATGAACAACTATTTACTACATATCTACAAGTACTGCAAGTAAATAAATAAATAAAATTAAAAGACAAAAACTGGATGTAACAAACACAGTAGGGAACTAGGATTTAGTCATTTGTTGCCCTGACCCTGGAATCATTCTTCATTAATTCCATTCTAGGCTACAGGTCCAATATCTATCTTTCTCGAGGGCTTCAGGCCAATGTTATTCTTGAGAAAGAAATCCACACTTTGTAAGCATTTGGAATTATTCTCCCTACATATTCGATGCCATAGCTACTATTCTCTCTTCCAGAGTCAGTTCTTTCTCTGAGTGCATCAACAGGTGACATACACTATTACCTACTTAAATAAGAAATAAAAGATTTAGGCAGAAGCGTTTGCGGCATATGCTCCTTCTATTTTAACTGTTATACTTCTTCTATCATCTGTTTCACTATGAAATACTCTGGCAGCTTGAGGGACAACTTGAAAATGCTTAGGCTGCAAATTCGCTAATTTTTCAGGCATTTCACACAAAAAAATTAAGCTGTATTCAAAAAGTTGCTGTTATCTAACACAACAGAGAGAAGATGTATCATATTAGTGAATTATAGTCTTCAGCCACAGAAAAGAATTTTAAGTTTACCTCTAACTGTGAGATTCTCAAAGCATTTTAATTCAGTCATAAGCTACAGAAGGCTTCGAAAAGCAACCAGTAAATTGCTGGTAACTACAGCAAAAAGAACCCATATGACTTGATCATTACAGAATTCAAGACCAAGATTCTCAGGAGTACCTGCATGATGAAATGCCACTCCCCATGGCAAAGTACGTTGGAGCACAGAGTCCAGGCCTGAGATAGAACGCTTTAGCTGATCCAGAACCTCATCGATCCCTTCTCTGTCCACAACAACTGGCACAAGGCCTGAGTTTTTTGCAGAACCTTGAGACAGAAAATATTTTTATAGTTTCTACTAAAATTAATTTTCATTAAAAGGCACTGTGCATACTATAGTCCTCTATTAACTACTTTTCTCTTACTCTCAGCCTGTTGCAAACTGTAGAATTCCCTGGCAATGATGTCTGCCAGCTTCTCACACCAGTTCTTGGATGGACAGAAAAGCAGGACTGAATGGCCATCACAAACAGTCTCATAACACAGGCTCACAACATGGTCTTCATCTCCCTGAATTAAGACAAAATATTTTCAATGCACTCTCACACTGAATGGAGTTTGTAAATACTGTCATTCCTCTGTGTCACAGTAGGAATCTTCTACTTCAAGTCAGAAAAAGAAGCAAACAAAGAAGACAGAGCACTGTTATCTTAGTTTCTGTCTTGCTTTAGAAAGTCAAAGCACTAGTATGATCACATTCTTGAGGACAGCCCTAGACCTACCAATGAATAAATCTAAGGTTTTACATCTTGCTTTCATAAATTTGTTTCTTAATGAAGGCCACACAGTGCACAAAAAATTACTGCAACCTCCATGTTGTGGCTAACAGCAGTGGGGAAGAACTAGAAAGAGCCGCGAGGGAAAACATCCCTCTATAGTAACTAAGGAAGACTTATCAGCTAGGATGTCTGAACTAAAAGCATGAGATGTATTAGTCTGAGCATCCCCAATAAGATGCACCCAGCAAGCACTGCTAATCAAAGACTGCAAGTGTTCAGAGCACAGTCGAATGCTTTTATGGATACTTTTATAGATGCACATGCAAAATCCTACTGTTTACAGCTAGCCTTTTTGGTTTTAAGATCCTAAGAGAGTTGCTGCAACTGACCTGTTTTGCTTGGCTAAGGCAGATTCTCTTCCAGCAAGCAGGCCACAGGAGGAATAGAACAAAGGTAGGTGTATAGTAAGAAATAAAAAGCACTGAAATGCAAATGAAAACAGAAGCAATGGCAGGAACTGCATATTACACATCAAAAGCTCAGTAAGGATTCAGCCAAATTCAACAGAAGTGGTGAGGTCCTCAAGTTCCCTTTTCTGGTCCAGTCTGAGGCACAGAACAGAAGCTGAAGGTCCAGTGATAGATCTGAAGCCCAAGAGGATCACCTGGTCTTATAAAATAAGCCAGCTCCCTTAAATTGTTGAGTCATAAGCCTAGTTTAGCTTTTTTTCTCTCACTTAATTCAGTACCTAGCCAAAGCAATTACTTCAAAAAAACATCCAGAAAAGGAGACGCAAAAACGCCTTCTCAATATGACCACATAAAAGCAAGCTTCCAGATATTCTGGTCACAAACATCTCCTTCTTCTTTGCTGTGCCACCATGCTACTGACAACAGAAGGTTTGCACACAATGAGAACCAGGTGAAAAACATTCCAAAATATTGCTGGCATTCAGCCCATATTGTCCAACTACTATGCTAGTATTACACAGAGCAGCTGAAAGGACTGGAGAGAGAATTCACCCTTCAAAAACTCCACAGAAAAAGAACCTACAAGAAGGAAGTACAAATCTCCCATTTCTACCTGTTTGGTTCTTCCGAATCATTACAGTACGTTACCCCTTAACCTTTCGTATCCTTTTCAAGTGCACAAAAGGATTAAATACTGAAAACAGCTTCAGAAGAATCAGGATGGACATCTGCCTTCTAATCACTGACAAAATTAGATTATTCAGCAGTTTAAGCTAAGCAGCTTCAATATCAGATTTTAATGGAAATATATTCTCCCAATGATTAATGCAAATTCCTTGGCCTAACCAAGGAAATACTTATCTTCATTTATGAAAAGTGAAGTAGATTCCTGTAGATTCCTGGGCACAAGACAGAGTGGTGGGTAAGGGGAGAATGAAACTCATTATAGCCATCAAATGCTCAGAAACAAGATAATGACAAAGTCAACTTTGTCTTCAAGACAAAATCGAGAGACTTCAAGAACTTCATGAATGTCTGTTTTGTTTTGTTTTTTGTTTAAATCAGTAGAAGACAAAAATCAATTTTGTTCTCAGTTTGAGCATACAATCTATGAAGTAAACAATGAAGTTGGGAATGTCGTCCATTAAAAAAAAATAATTAAAAGCATACCAGTAGCTGTCTTTTTAACTTTAGCTGTGCAAACGGAGTTATCCCAAAGCCACTGGTCAGAGTTTTGTTACCTTCAGTTGAAGCTTGGGCTGGAATTCTTGCACTAAATTCATGGAGGAGTCATAAATGTTGCTGCCAATTTTCACCCACTCCTTGAGGGGCACAGGACGAAAATCCGTACAGTATAGCTCTGCATCTAACCATGAGGCTAGGAGTCCCAAGTTAGGGAGAGTAGCACTCATGCCTACAATCTGTATCCCACCAAAACCAGGACTGGTCATCTTCGCCTGTCTGGAAGTCATTAAAAAGAAAATGAAAGTTAGTGATAACACAAGCTACTGTTCTGGAAAACAGGATTCGGAAAAACTGACTCAATCTACTTCCTTCCAGCGTCTAAAGTGCAAAGCTATTTTTTTCAACTTCTTGACAAAGAAACAAGTCACACTCTACTCCTAGCAAACACAATGTCAGGTTATGCATTGGTAACAAGATAATTCAACTTTTTCTCATTTTGAACCTAAACTTTAAGCTTCTTCAACAGCCATAAACTGACTGTGTATTTGGAAAAACTGAAAACAAATAAATCAATCAAGTATTTCCTTGCCATTAACAAAAGGATGGAAATAAAGGAATGGTCTAATTTCCAATGCAGTCTTTCTAAGCTTAAATGCCTCAATTAAAACACTCCCATTTGTTTCAATTTCAGGAAAAATAATACCAGACAAAGGTCTTCCCAGAGCTGGGAAACAAAGCCCTTAGTTCAGCAAAGAAGAAAGCAGCTTCAGTTCTCAAAGTGCTGAACAGCTTCCACTAAAGGCAGTGAGAAGTAATGGACTCTTAACAGACCTGAAAACACAAACCATTAATTTAGATACTCAAATGTATATTTTCAAGCTTTTACATCCACAACAGGGTTTTTTTAATGCTGCTAAGCCTACGTTTAAAAGCTACTCGTTTGCATTGCACTGAGCCACAAATTGAGACTTCAAAAAATAAAAAGGTCTGACAAACCAATGTGAGCTCAGAAGCAGCCTGAACCATCTTTGATTACCAGGATCCTGGTAATCCTGGCAAGGACAAGATAGAGGAAACAAGACAACTCAGAAGCTAGAGTAAAAAAGACCAGTCACTGATGAGATAGAAATAAGGAAGATGAGGAGAGGCAGACTCTCCCTTATCCAAGCTCTTCAAGCATTTGCTAGTACAGCTCCACCATCTAGGTTGCAGATTTCTCCCCTAAAGCAACTTCTGACCTTCAAGGATCAAAAACGTTCCAGCTCCACAATGCACTCTTTGGAGAAGAGAAAAATCTGCTGCAAAATTTTGTCTGGGTCTGTAAAAGCCTCACAGAGAAGCAAGGGCATTCACACAGGCAACGGCCATCAAAGAACATTCTCTTGGTGCAAAGACACAGCCTTATACTTCAGTGAGGAGTCCAGATAACCACTTAAAAAGCTCTTCAAAGCACTGGTCATTCTGATAATTGGTCAGGCTGGACAGTGTTTAAGGAATATGGATAAAGGTAATGCCATTAAATTAAAAAAAGGTAATGCCATTAACAGAAAAAAAGCACCACAGATTTGGGAGGACATTTGAGAGAAAATGTGGTCTTCAACTCCAGGAATCTCAAGTGGATTCCAAAACAAAAATAGCATGACAGAGAGATGGAGAATCTGGGCCCGAGCTCCTTGATGCATCTGTCCCTTTTTCCCTGACAAATGTTTTCTCCTCCCTGCTTCTTCAACGCAAGGGAGGAAAGCAGAAAGTGGACCTGCACCTGTGCTGCAGCTACATGATAAGCCAAGGTAAAAGGAGTGACAAAGCTACTCACGCTGCTCTGAAGTGTACTGGGTTCCAGGACTTATGGGTATAATTTGAGAAAAAGTCAGAAGTGATTAGACCTAGAACACTGCTGGATCCTGCAATTCAGGATAGGAAACACTGGCTAAAATGTCCAGTGGAGAGCCAATATAGAAATGGCAGTACCCTCAGAACGAAACAGGTAGTCTGTGCTTGGACCAGCACTGGTACAACTCACAAGAAAGGAAGCAGCAGAGAAAACTGGCAAAATCTGGCTTTTGGTGCTAAGGGAACAGTTGATTTTGACTCTTCCCTCAGCATCACCAATAAAGATTCAGAAGACTGATACACCGTCTCCTCCATTTGTCTGTGTTTGGGCATTGTGGAGCTGCTGGACAGTTTGGTGTTGAGGATCTAGATCCTGAATTCTTAGAAGCCTCTAAAGCTCTTCTGAAACACTTAATCTGTTCCTCAGTGTACAATCAGTTGTGCTAGAGGCAAGAAACCATGCAACCACTAGGCTATTGCAAGTCATAAGCAAAACCACAGATCACCCTGAGCAGGGCTAACTAAGCAGACTACTGGCACATCCTCTCGAGTCTTCTGATCAATTCACCATTGCCAAATTAACAGCACGCCTACTCTTCCACAATACCTGCATGTTTCAGTAGGATAAACATCCCATTCCATGAAACACTGAAAAATTAAGCAGGGCAAGTCCACTAGCAAAAGCTTTAAAATAAATTCAAAGTTAAAAAAAAAAATTAATAGGCTGAAAAAGTAAATGAAAGCTTCAGCCTTATTTCTTTTTCTGAGAGAATGAATCCCATGGTAGCACACAAATTGAAAACCATGAGGAAAAGAGGTTTTGACTACAATGGCAGGCCCTGAGAGGTGATATGATGAGACCTTAATAACCAAAATAATCTAGGTCACGACTCTCATAAAAACCCTGGAGCTAACCCAAATTTCCAAACACCCAGATAACAAAATATTTAGAGCCATCCATAATTTAGCATTAAAAGACAAACATCCTGGACTACTCACCGTTTTGCAACCTTCTCTGTAACATATCTAACTTTGGTCAGAAGGAGTTCCAGCAGATATCCTCGATGAGTGTCTCCCAGCATGTGCAACTCATCCACAACTACCACTCCTGATAAAAAGAGGCACTCAGGTTACATCTGACAAAACTCCAAACTAAGAACAGGTAGCCTCAATCCTTTCATCTTCCGCATGACGAATTGAAATTTATATTCACAAATCCAGCTGTGCTGACCAACACCACTATGGCTTCCTTCTGTCACTGATTCTTCTGCGAGAGACAAATCATGACAAATGTCATGACATTTTCCAGCCCCCACAACCTCACACGCACACTATCAGCTTTTAAAAAAATGAAAATAGGTTAAGTTGTTAGTGTGGCCACCACACAAAACAGTATTGCAGCACCTCTACTGTAACCTCTCTGCAAGTAAAAACCCCCAGGCTTCAGAGGATCTGGAAGTGAACATTCCAGCACCCACGTGTGCTAGTCAAAAGCTTTGTTGACATCACTGTCTCAGTTAAAAACATCACTCCTTCCTAATACAGTAATGTCAGAAAAAAACCCTAGAGCAGATGTAATTACACTGGCATAGCCTGCTTCCTATTACATCTTTCCTCACTAACCAAACCTGGATGAGCTCTACTATTTAACTTTGGCCTTCTAATGAAAAAAAATCCTTACATGACTGCTCTGTTGTCATCCTACCTCCTGCAAACGACTTTTTAATCTATTTGTCACCTACGTCAAATTTCTAAGATGTTTACAAATACTGCACAGAATAATGTCTAAAAAGCACCTGGAGAAAACAGACCAGATTAGGGTGTCCCCTGAGGAGAGAACACAGAACTACTACAACCCAGCCACTCAGCACACCTCCTTCACACATCCCAACTAGCAGGAGTATGTACCCTTTCTAGCCAGCTGACAGGGTCATAGGGACATGGAAGAGGCCAAAGGAAGGTTAAATAAAAAAAGCAGGGCACAGAGGACACCAGGCTTCATCAGTTATGCTGCTGTGGAATTTTTTTTCCTGCTTTTGTGCAGCTATGGAATATCTTTCTGGTACAGCTAAAATAGCAGGAGCTTAAGGGCAAATGTGACCTTACATTATCTGTTTCAACGCTATTTTTTCTTCTCACTTTTTTTCTCTCTGTCCTACGTATGTTCCTTCTCTCTCCGTCTGCTTTCTCCCCCCTTCTCTTTCAAGCCACTTGAGTTAGAAAAGACTGCTGCACTGCTTCATCAGCCTCTTTTACAAGCTCCCACCCATTCGGGTCCCCTGTCTTCCTGTACTTCTTCTATTCTGTGCTCATTTGTGAAAAATGGTAATTCGCTGGTCACCAAATACATATTTTTCAGCTACCAGAAAAAGCTTCTTCCCACTTCCCCATACAACAGTCAGTCTGAATTCTTCCAGCAGCTGAGACAGGATCGTGGAATCAGATATCTACCAAAGTAAAATTCATACCACTTACCTTTCCAGTCTTTGTGCCAAGCAGCAGCACATTTTGCTTCCTGAAACAAAGCACCGAACACTAGTGGTACCTACAGTCCAAAGCACAGGGAATTCTACTATTTGTTGTAGAGGCCACTTGTTCTATACCTTCTGCTGCTCCTCAGCTATAACACATATTCAAACCCACACTAAACCTGTGTGCTGCATTGCCCTGGCAATCTGCAAGCTGGCGAGACCTGACTGTCACACACGCACAGTGCTCTCCTCTATTCAGGCAACACTCAAAACACACGCACTGGGATAACACAGCAGCAGTGCTCAGGCAACCAGTATTCTTCACAAAGCTATCCACATCTTAAAATGGAATTGCAGCCAAGGAGGACAAGTCCCAGCATGCATTGGTATTTTTTACGCAGCAACAAGCTCAGGAGTGCAAGTGGGGTGAGAATTAAACTAGTAATTTTTTAATTTAATGTTTAAATTAAGAAAAGTAACAAGTGAAGTATCACAACAGCAAATCACAAATCATTCCCAGCTGACATATTGAGAACGCAGCAGATTCTTCTCTAATCTGCTTTCCTAAAAATTTCTTTAGCATCAGCGTCAAGAGGCTGAACCACAAGAGGAGTATCATGTCCTGTGTACCTGCATGTTCAAACCTGACATACATTATATAGTAATTAGCAACACAAAATTGCTTTTAACTGCTTCCTACAGCAAAGAGAGCTCTGCCAGGCAGAGGATTTCAGTTTCTCTCAACAATTTCCAAAGGCAACGTGCTATCATGCAGGCAGTTCACATCAGGAAAAGGAACAGCTCAAGCTTGAGATGGAATCCAGCCAGAATTGCAGTCATCTCCCAATGACCCATCTCAAGAGATAAAACACCCTTGTTACAAATTAGTCTAAATTTAGAATTAAGCAGAAGGCAAGGTTCAATCATGCAGTTTCAGACAAGCTTGCTCTAGGTGACAGTTAAAACTGGCGTTTTCAGCTCATGCTTCTATTTTGCAGCTTCTATGAATATTTATCTCCAAATCAAAAATTTGTCAATTCATTACTTTAAAGATGATTTTTAAACTCAAATTTCATTTAAAAATTAATTTCAAACAAGTATAAACTAAAAAACAAAACACATTTTTGCCCTTATTTCAGTTAAATGGTCATATTGGGGCACAAGGGAAAGGGAGGGCTGCAGCAGAGGTGTTTTCAAATGGTGAAAGAAAATCATCATGCTTTAAGGAGGTACTGGTGTTGAGGACATATATTCAAACTCAAATCTTGTAATCACTTGGCTGGTTATATTCTTGGCTGTATGTGACTATATATGTCACATATGTCTATATATGGAGTCTATATATAACTCCTCTCAGATACATTCGTCTTAGAGAGGACAACAAAACCTGGGGATGGAATGGAGGTACCAACCAAAGGGATTTGGCATAGGAGGGTATCATTAAACAATACATTTTAGTATACCAAGTATGCTTCCAAGGCACCCAAGCCAACATAAGCATGGTCATCATGTCCCCACTCTCTGCCTTATGCTAGCAGCACAGCTTGCACGGGGTGGTGACCTAGGATCAAACTAATCCTACTTAAAACAAACAAAAAAACCTACACTAAGTAGCCACATATTGAAATAACTAACTGCATGATCACTAATTCTCTTGCAAGGGAAGGAATGAAGATATGCAGTCAAGAATCGAGCTGAACTGTAGGAGCCTCAATTCAAATGAGCCACGGTCATCCACTCATCTTCCAGCCCCCTGGCAGTCTAAAGCATCCATGGTGATCCAGCCCCTATAGATCCAGGCATGAATGTGTGATCTCACACTCTGACAAAACCTGCAAGGCTTTATTTCCCTTATTCTCTCTTGTGTTTAAAAAACTCTTCTGGTATATAATGCTGCAGAATATTACGACACTAGATGCACATGGAACAGCAGTTTCATAGGTGGAGGTCTCAGAGTAGTTTGATACTCACCTAGTTTTCCAGTTTTTATATTCTTAAAATAGCAACCAAGCTATGTTACAGGCCAGAGTGAAGATGGGAGGGATTACTGTACAAAATGTAACTGCGTGTAGCTTTACTGAGCAAGGAAGCAAAGAGAAGAACAAACATGTGACTGGACTAGGAAAACACCTCTCTCCAAGTGCGCACTGGAAATGTAGGGCTTCTTCAGGGTTTGTATCTCCTCCCAAAAGCTAAGTGAATACTACCCTCATCTACTGGCCATGAGGACCATGGTGACCCAGAAGTCTATGTTACAAGGACAGAGGGCTTTTGAGCAAACTACAGAGAGAAAAGAAGTCACAGCCCTCCTAGTCACCATGCCTACCCAGAGGAGCTCTAGGTATTCATTCCACTTATCTGGACCCAGATGAGCACCGAACACAATTCGTCCTCTTCCTTGAGCTAAGTGAAGATAAACTATGGGTGCCACAATCGCTGTCCAAAACAAACGTACATACATTCTTGAACTCAAACATATCCCAGACCTTTATTTCAATTTCATTAATTAGAAGATGTTTTCTAGCTATGGGAATCACTGCTTATTGCAGCTAATCACTGTCCATGGATTGTTATCCATATCAGACAAATTAAAACCTGCAGCTTCTGCCTACTCACTCCAGCCTCTGAGCTACATAGAATAGTCCTGACTACCTTCCTAAATCCAAATTCGACGTGCTCTGGAGGAGGCAAAATTGCTCAATTTTTCTATATGGCTTGTCTGTCACACACAGAACTGAGCAAATACAATTATCCCATGATTTCACATATACTCAGAGTATGTAATAAACCTCATCCCTGCAATGGTCAAGCCTTAGTATTTTACCCAGTGAGTCCATTTTGTTTTCTTCTATTAGTCTATTGATTAGACCGTTGGCTTTCTCAATGGTGCAGACAGCAACATCCAGGGCAGAGAAACGTCCAGCAGGAGATATGCTTCCCATGTAGCCTTCAACTCTCACATCCACCTCCTGGAACAGGGTCTGTTGTCCAAGGATACAGAACGTCATGCCAAGGTTACAAATCTGAATTCTGACCAATGCCTGCTGGAATCACATAAAAGCCTGCATCCTACAACCACAATCTTAGAATGCCAACTAATCAGATTAAAGCCATAGCTCGGCCAGTTACTGCTACTTTTTTTTTCAGCTGTCTTTTTTTATTTCACAAGCACAAGCCACACAGTACACATTGCAGGATAAAGTGTACACAAGTGAGTAAGAGATGGGGACCACTGTTTTGTATAAAAACATTTACTGTTAAGCAGCTTAGAGAACACACAGTGCAACAGTTTATACTACCAGTGGGTTATATACAAAGAAGCCTTGCTCCTGAGAAATCTGGGGCAAAAGCCAAATGTGGGACCTCAAACACAAAGATGTCACATCTCCTAGATGAAGGTGAAGAAACAAGGACTTCTTTTCTTCCACAGCTTATTACTGCAGTGCCAAAGCTTTAGCACATTACGCACTGCATTAACAGAAGATACAAGTATTTGAACCAGACAAGTAGGATACCATATGATTCCAAGTATGTGCAGCTACAACCAAACCTTAGGCCAGGAGTAGTAGAACACAGCATTGATAATCCTCTAGCTTTACAAAGATTAAAGCAAAAGCATGTCTCTGTTATCAATCACTACGAAGTAGCTTTTGCACTCAGTGTGTCACATATCCTAGCAATTTGCAAGGTTAAGGTACCATCTCAGTTTACTAACACCCAAAATATGTGAAATGTCAGAAACTACAACAAAAGGGCCTCCTGGTTTTGTATCTGGTTTTAGTAATTGTTATAACTTTGACGTACTAGCTAATGGAAACAATATTTGATATGAAAGTCTTTCAAAAAAAAATGTTTTTGTTTTAAAAGACTGTTCCCACTGTAATTATGTTTTTAAATAGCTGGGGTGAGGAAACCACGACATAATCACTTTCTGTCAGAACATATTTTTAGAAAAGTCCAAGTGAAATCAAAGGCACAAAATTCTGGTGGTGTACCCCAAAGAAAGCCAAAAAAAAAATAGTTTCTTTCTGATAATGTTTACACATTCCCTTTGTAGTTTTTCAGATATAATCTCTAATTGGAAAATTCATTTAAAGTTTGTATATTATAAAAATCTGTGAATACATGCAAGTAACAACGCTTTAAAAGTCAAAGCTGAAATAAAATGTTTTAATCAACTCCTTAAAATTTTTCAAAGTCTCCCTTTTTGTCTAAAACTTTCATTTTTTTATCTCCAACTTAGAACAAATTTTAAATTACCTACAACTCCTTTCTGAAACAAAAATTGTTTTGTTCCCGAAATCCATGCAAAAACTTCTAATTGTTTAAAAAATGTAACTCAACTACAACTCATAAAAATTGACATCCTTGAATGCTACTTACCTGCAGATAACATTTTTTCTCCTTGACCACAGAGACAAAGGGAAGGATGAGAAGAGCTTTCTTACGAGTCTCCAGGACTCGCTTCAAAATAAGCAATTCTGCAACAAGAGTCTTTCCAGCACTGGTAGGAGCTGGAAAAAATAGTTGTTTTTTTTTAAATTAATTTTTAGTAACTGATGCCCTTCTTCCACAGCCTCAACCACATTTTCAGTTAACTCCATAAAGGGTCAAGACAACTGCAAAGTACTTCTCTTCTAGCCTGTTCCACCATGCTACCAAGACTTGTGTTCTCACCTCTGCTCTAGAAGCAACACCAGAGATAAGCAAGGAGAAAAAAAGCCAACCAAACAAAATAAACCCACTACAGCCCTTTGGTCAGACAGGAGAGTTCAGCCAGCACCTTACTGACCTAGCCCGTAAATATATTAACCACTCTTGTTCTGCAAGTGCTGCCGTGTGCCATCTATCATCCACAGAAAACTATGGAGGAGATGCCACACATCGGGGGGACAGCCATTACCTGGCAATCAGGCCCAAAGTCTTCTGGAACTAAGTAAATAAACCTCAAATCCAAGCCTAAGAAAAACACTCGTCCCTCTTCTAAATTCTCCATCCTCCCAGTTCTGCTCTGGGACCTTCTTCCCATGGAGAGAAGACACCCAAGTTGCCTTTTCCCACAGATTTCTAGTCCACCAGTCCTACTTCTCCTTCTGCACCTCCTCGCCATACACTAGGTGAAAAGAAACGATAAAGGGACTGAAAAATCAGTAAGTAAATAATATTTTCAAAAGTATTTATATCTAACATCGCTGTTATCATTCAGTTCCCAGTTGACATAGTCTGTAATAAAAAAAGAGAGAAACATCATTAACTGATTCCTAACTGTCAGTTTCTAAAGGAACATTATCAGAGAAAAGGGGGCAAAAAAGTCTCTCCTCACATCTGGAAAGGAGTCCATTAAGCCAGGTCTGAGGTACAACAATGGGATAGATCTTAACGGAATCTCTCCAGAAAAAAGAGGATCTTAGCCTTTTTATCTGTCAGATCAGAACCCTTCAGCACCAATGTCATCTTGTAAATGGCACTGGAAATGTTAGAGCGGACGGGTTTCGTCAAGTGTTTGCATACCTGAGTAAACTAAGTTCTTCCCTTCCAGAACTTGTCCGAGCATTAGGCATTCTGCTTGCCAGTCAAACATCTGTACTACTCCCAGACTGTGGTATTTCTCCAGAACTGCTTTGGGAAGACCCCAGCTTGCAAGGAGCAACTTGTCTGCTTGGTCTTCAGGAACATTTACTTGCTGGTATTGCCCTTTAGGGGAGAAAATAAATAAATAATAAAAAGTGAAGTATCATTCCTGAATCTGAGGTCACTTAGGTTATATACACAAAGATCAAACTTCTCTCGAAGCTCCTGTATTATGAGAAAAGGTAACAAGGAACTGTCTCCCCTATATTTTTCAATATTTCCTGTTGATGTTTCACCATTCTTCTTATCTCCTGACATCATTCTTTCAGTTTTTCCTCTTACAAGATTTTCCACATTCAAATCATTTCTTCACCAAACTCTTGCTCTGATATTTGCTTTTGAGACAGAGCAGCCTTTAAAAATGCATACTCAAACAGAGAGTTTCAGCACTGATTAATATAACAGCATTACAATGTATTTGCCATCCCATCCTTATTCACGTTGTTTCCTTTTTAGATTACTGCTACAGAGACTTCAGTAACCCTCACTGATTACAGAACTGCCCAGTCTTTTTTCTTGCTTTATGGATGAATTAAAAAAAACATGAACCAAACAAGCAGTTCAAGCTACTCTGTACAACTACTGTTACTTTAGTGTACCTACATTGATTACATCTTTACCACACTGCCAGTTCCTCTAGCTTAATTACATTTTTTGCTGCTTATTTCTTACTAGTGTGCATAAGCAGCCAGTATTTTTACTCTCAATGTAGCAAAAATTTCAACTGTCTTCTTGAGGTTAACCCCAACCTAGCTGTCAGTGGTCCATGATCATTCTCCCCTGTACAAATATATAAAAAAGCTGATCAATCTTAGCTCTGAAAGCTTCATTTCACTTTGTATAATCAAAGTACTATACAAATACCAAATAAGACGTTGAGCACCATCAGAAGAGAACAGCAGTATGCCACGAAGCAGAACAGGCTTCCCAAAGAGAATTTAGAGGAGACTAGATTTGTCTGTCCTACAATGTGACTAATATGACAGAATCAGAATTCGCAGTCATAGAAAGAAAAAAAACCACTACCCAACATGATGGGATCTCAAGCTTCTTTCCTAATGTTAAAATCAATGAACTACATGTGTCATGGTTTGATGTGGAGGGGGTGGGGGTTCTGGTGGCAGGAGAGGGGCTTTGCTCCCTTGTGACCTCCCTGGTTTTGGAACCAGGTCAGACCTGGTTCTGGCCACCAGATCAGACTGCCATCCCTCTCAGGATTGAGCCAATCAGCACCTCTGCGAATTGCCCTATTTAAGTCGGGACAAAGGAACCAGAAAAGGTGCTTTTGCCCAGGAGCGAGGAGAGAAGGGAGGAGGGCACTGCCCCAGCTCCCTGGCTCCCGGCCGGGCAGCTACCTGCGTCGGGCCA